ACTCGATGGCTAATACCTTTGTGCTTCTTCCCTTTGCTCTTCTTTTCAACCAGCTCCTGTGTTTGGCTGGTAATGTAATGGCCTTGTTATGCTTCAGTTTGCATTTTCTCACCCAACTCATGTTCCTGAGCATGAATTTATGTTTGCTGGCTATTTATGTCTTTTTTTTTTTCCTTAAGAGGTGTTTCATTTTGTTTTCCAACTGATTCTCAGAAGTTCTGTATATTTTCTTTCAATTAGATGTTCAGATCCCCCTCCACATCTTTTCCAAAACCTCATTGTCTTTGTGCCAGAAATTCTTAATTGAAATACAGTCAAATTTGTCAAACTTTTCATACAGCTTCTGCTTTTTGTGTTTTGTTTAAGAAATATGTCTCTATTTTGGGATCATATATTATTCTTTTTTTTCATTTCTGGTTTATTTTATTTATTAAGGTAACATTGTTAGGAACATTTTTGTAACTAAAATCTTTACTTTAGGATAGATTTAGAAGTGAAATTGTAGGGTCAAAGTTTATGGACATTTTAACACTGGTTTTATGTTGACAGACTGTGATCAGAACTGTACTTTTTTTTATTAGAGTATTTTTTTCACATTCTCAGCAACTTGTATAATACAGTCCCCCTTCCCCACAAAGTCATCAACATTGGCTCTAGTCTTCTCCTCTTCCATAGTTGTTTGTTTTGTTTTGTTTTCATTTTTGGTACTGGGGATTGAACTCGGGACCTTGTCTTCCATAGTTTTTATAACTTGGTAACTGAATATATCTTGTTTCCCTGATCAGTTTCTTGCAAGGCCAAAGACTCTACAGTTTCTTTACTATTCTGTGGTCCGTTAACTCCTGCCATACCTTCGTTTTAGACGTCCCACAACCTCCCCAAGTCAGTGATTAGGAAGAAGGACTCACAAGATGGAATAGCAAGCAGTACAGTGATAAAAAGGATATATGGCAAAAGCAGTTGGAGAGTTGGGTTTCAAGAGAGCCCAGAAAGGCCAAATACAGGCTGCCTTGGATCCTTATTTCTTTGTTGCATTGTTTGTTCGTTTGTTTGTTTTTGTATTGGGGATCGAACTTGGGACCTTGCGCTTGTGAGGCAGGCGGTGCAACCACTGAGTTAAATGCTTGGCTGGATCTTCATTTCTTGATAGAGGCACACAGGAGTTCACATTCATTCTCTTTCTCACCTGCTTCTCTCTCTTTCCCTTTCTTCCTCTCTCTGATAGCGTGTGGTGTGTCACTGCTTGGTATAGCTCCTTTGAGTTTCAGGTCTGTAGCTTTTATTTTTCCCCATTGAGTTTATTGGTACCTTTTAGATATACAGTACAGTTACATTCATTATTATTCTTTTATATTTTCTCCTAAAACTCTAAAAGTGTTTGCCTCTGTAGCATTTGTGAACCATCCTTTCTTTTCTTCCTTTCCCACATCTGCAACTTCACCTCTTTTCATACTTGTATGGGATTGTTCTTTGGCTCTCTAGTTTGTTCTATTGATTTTTCTTACCTGCCCGTGTACCAATATCACTTTTTTTTTTTTTTGATACCAGGGAAAGAACTCAAGACCTTGTGCTTGCAAAGCAGGTGTGGTGCCACTGAGCAAAATCTCCAGCCCTACATATTCTTAATTTAAGACCTTTGCAAGACATTCTTTCCATTTGTTCATAAGAAAAGTCTTGGTTATTTTTGGCCCTATATTCCTACATTTCAGAACCAGCTTATCAAGTGTCAGGAATCTATTGGGAATTTGTCTTTTGGAATTTTCATTGAAATTTCTAGAATCTATAGATTAACTTAGGGGAAATTGCCATTTTACAGTATTTAATCTTTCTCTCCAGATGCATGTTTATTCATTCCTTCTTTAGGGCCTCCATTAATCTTTAATAACATGCACAATGTTCTCTGTAAAGATCTTGCTTGCCTTTTTTAAAGCATCTTACTTTTGTTGTTTTGTTCCAAATGTAAGCAGCCCTAAAAACTAAAATATACTACATCTTGAGTTCATAAATTTAGATTGCCCTGGTAAATTTATGGAAAAAAATAGAACAGTATCTGGAATATTCTATTTTTTTCACATGATAGAGATCCCTCAGACGTGGTCATAGCTTTGAGTAGTAATACATGACAGCTTTCTAAATATTCTACTAGAAGAATTAACTCATCAGTTTTGGAAACCAGAATAACAAATTGTATGGTTTGGGTCCCCCAAATGTACAAGATATAGGAAAAACTAATTATTCATTAGCTTATTCAAAACTATTGAAAAGCTGATCTTGAATGCTATCTCTAATTTTCCAACTTGAGATCATTGTCTGACACGTGGTGGGAAAGCTTTTTCTTTTTAGCACACTAAAGATTTGCATCACAATGTTTCCTTTCCTTTTTGAGACTACAACTGAATCAATACATCTCGGCCTAAACATTGCAGACTTTTTTTTTTACAGGAATAAAATGGTCTGGCTCAGGATATCAAGTTGGGAAATCAGTGCAGCAAGTGCTAGATTGCACAGAATTTGATTAAATGCTGTATATTCAGGAGAATCTTATTTGTTGTTAGTTTTTTCTAATCACTTTAGTTCTCTACTATAGTGAACTATTGAAACATTTACAAAAGGAGAATTTTTCAGTCTACCAGAAGCTGAAACTTAACCCTGTTCTTTGGTGAATTTCACTTTAGATTGCCACAATAGCATCTTGATTCTATCATTTAAATACTAGGGTTTTTTTTTCAGCTTTAATTGAGTTTCTCGGTACATTTTAGGGATACAGTACAGTTACATTCACTGTTGGGATCTTGTACCTCCACATGACAAGTCTTGATAGGTTTTTTTTTTTAAGTGCCCTTATATTTGTGTTTGTTTGTAGGCATTTGTGGTCAGCAGGACCTATTTAAAACTTTTATTACTTACTTTGGAAGCCATGAGCCACTCCATTTTCATTGTCTAACTCCTAAAGTGACATTAAAAATCAGAAGAATTTAATATTTAGGCTTGAGTATATTATGCTTTTTCCTAAGCAAAAGTCCCTAATCTTATTTGTCAAAGGATGGCATTCCTCTGCTGCTTTTTGAGTTTATGATTCTTTTTTCATCCTTCTGGGGTTCCCTATCACCACCCTGGACCCTTCTTTTTTTTTTTCCTTGAAATTAAGCTGTAAATCATTCCTTGAGGATATTTGGGCCTTGTTCATACAGGATCTAATTCTATCAGATCTCCCTTCTGATTTATAAAATTTTCCCTCCACTCAGACTAGCAAAAAAAAAAAAAAAAAAAAAAAAAAAAAAAAAAAAAAAAAAAAAAAAAAAAAATGCTCCTAACGCTTCTATAAATACCATCATCTGAATCTTCAGGAGTCAGAGAAAGACTTATTCATTTCTCACATGAGTCAGTGTCAGTGTTCAAGGCTTCAATAAGCCTACTACTTTCAATGTCATTTGCTTCTTTGAGATTCAGTAGCTGCTTTGTGGAGGGAAAGATTAATAAATTTATTCAAATTCAACATATTCAGTGACAACTTAGCAATCTTTGTGTATGGTTTTTTATGTGTAATAGACTATGTTTCTTTTTTTAAGGGGCTTTTCTTCACCTTTTTTTGTTGTTGTATCAGGGATCAAACTCTGGCCCTTGCGTTTGTGAGGCAGGCAGCGGAACCACTGAGCTAAATCCTTGGCCCCATTTGGCATTTTGTATTGTCACATTTCTGTGATATTTGTGAAATTTAGGGAAGTTCTGGCCATTATTTAAAAAATTTTAGCCTTACTCTATTTCTATTATTCCATTTACATGCATGTTGGATTAATATCATATGACAAGTTTCTGAGGCTTTATTAATTTTTTAAAACTCATTTTTTTTGTTGTTGTTCACTTTGGATGATTTCTATTGCTTTGGATGATGTCTATTGCTCTACCTTCAAATTCACTTTCCTCTTCCTCTACGACTTCCTTTTAGCTATTAAAATCACATCACCCAGTGAGCTTTTTTTTTTAATGTCTGAAATTATAATTTTCAGTTACAGAATGTCTATTTGGTGTTTAAAGTTTTTTCTTTTCTTTGTTGAAATTTTCTTCATCTTTTGAGTTTCTTTATCCACTGAAAATATGTTTTATCTCACTAAGGATGGGTATAATTGTCACATTAAAATACTTGTCTTTCAGTTTCAACAGTAGGTTCTTGGTCTACTATGTTTGGAGGTAAAGTTCTATCTTACCTTGGAGTTTAAATAGTGAGTGTCCTTTCTTGCCCTGGTTAGAGTAATAGCTCCCTAACCACTCCCTGCGTCTACCCTTCCCTTCCAGTCTACCGTCAACGCCTTAGCGGCAGGGATCTTATGAAAAACCAACAGGACCGCCAACAGCTTCCTATTTCACTACAGTGAAGCCAAAGATGCTTACAAGGTCCTACCTGCCAGTCTGAAACTGTATGTAGCTTCCAGGTCACGTTTAACCACGCACTCAACAACTCTTGTTTCCTCCGATCTTGAAGATGTAGTATGGGTCTACTTTACACTTTGGTGACAGACCGAACGAGGCTTCCTCCTCTCCCAGGAATAGGAGACAGGGACCCAATGTTCAAGGCAAAGGGTAGTCAGGTGCTCCCCACTTTCTCAAGAGAGCTACAGGCAGCTCTGATTTAAGGAGGGTTATAAGCTTCTGGGCTTAGGGTGATACTCAAATCTTTTCGCTACAGTCTGCTCAGATTTGAACAAAGCTGAGAAACGAGAGCGCATTTGTGCGGGTGCAGCTCCCAGCGTTAGCCCGAGAGGCTGCTGTAGGTTTCCTTCCTGGGTCGGAGCCTTCCGAGTGCGGCTGCGGGCGGCACGGAAGCGGAACTCGGGCGAGCGCACCCCTGCTTCCGGTCGGACCGCGGTCCGGGTGCACACTGGAGCGCCGCCCTCGCCGGCA